CCCATTTTATTTTCTACATTCTCTTCAGTATAAAATAGTTTTTAAGAAAACCTTGCAGACATTTTCTCATTTTTTAAATATTGGAATTTTTCTAGACTAATAGTGGTGTTGGTATTATATCACCAGCTGCGAAGGTCAAGTATAATTCATTTTTTCCTGTTTGAAGTGATTGAGATATAGTTTTTGTAACTATAATGTAGCATCGTACTACAGATGGCGCTCACCACGCCATTTGTGGTATTTTCTAAAACGCGCTGTTAAGACAGCAGGTAAAGGTTGGTCTGTGTTCTGTCGGAGCTGCCTGCGACGCGCTGATGAGATCCAAAAAGATCGAAATCNCATGATTTAAAAATTATTTTACAATAGTGTTTAATCGAGTGGGCGTATTTAAAAGGTTGAACATTCCCTTACAATTAGACTGAATAAAGACCAGCTAGAAGTGCATGTGATGATGTATTAGAAAACTATTGTTTCAGCGTATCTTACAAGAGAAAAATTATTTTATAGTTATTCAGTGAGTTTCAGGCTTGAAGACGTTGACCGCTACTTCCCAACACCTTTGGTCATCAGATTTCTTTCGAAAAAGTTCAGGATGAGCAGCAAATTATCAAGATGCTCCATAATTATGATTTTTGTAAAATCGGACATTTGTTTAATAATTGGTTTATTTAAATATGTTGTGTAATTAAAATCTGATAAAAGTGTATGTACCTATTTAATTTTAATGTAAAATGTACAGGATGTACGAAAATTTACAAATTCGGTCGATTGAAAACAAAAGACAACCATTTTGTGCTCATTTTTTTACTTTTCCTTGAAAAAAACAAAAGCAGTAACTAAAGAAATCAAAATTTATTTTCGCAATGGTACAGATTAATTTGAAGTTATAAGACCAACAATAACTGTCTTACATCAAGACCAATGCTATATTAATCTTTTCCTGTTTTTGCGTTTACTTATCACTAGCTGTTATACATAAGCACAGTACTTTTTTAATTCTACATTATAAATCAATTTGAACCTAACAATTGAATTTATAGTTAGAGTGAATTAACTTTTACCACTAGAAGTAACCACAAATTAATGAGGAAGAATACTTTCTGCTGTCGAGCCCTCGCCGGGAATTGAACCCAGGACCTTTGGCTTCATGCACCATTGCTCTACCGCTAAGCTACGAGAAATGACATGAGAAACAATGACGATCTTGCCTAACTAGACAGGTCACATAATCGTCAAACCAATGTGTAATCATTATTAATAATGACATTTTTTTAGAAGAATTTTTTTGTAGAGCTTGAATTTGTGACGTTTTTACATTTTTCAACTAACTAACCCTTATTAAAGCTTCAAGTTGCCGCAGAAACATAGATTTAGATAGAGAAATATTCGTTCAATAACATAGAGACGCAAGAAAATTTAACGGCTGCTTTTTACACGTGATGGAACGGGAAGATAAAAATAACTTCATTTATCCTCTTGACACAGTGTTGGGCAAGACAAGATGAGGTTGCCTTCACCTTGAAAGCTAGCGTAATGCTCTTTAGGTATTACTTTACAAGGAATAGCGAAAGGCTGTCCTTTCCTAAAGGCTTCCTTTTGTATTAGGACATATATCTCAAGGTTACTTCTTGCTTTGATGCTAACGAATCATCCGATTACGGTTACATAAATGTATTCGATTTCAAATGCTAGAAATTGTCGCAACATTATAATTAATCGATGCAGTCTCATTTACAAGGGAATTATATCATTGAAGCGAAATGACGACAGACAGAAAGACTCAGATGCAACTTGTTCATCTGGCCAACTAACCATGATGAATAATGGTTCTGTGTCTTCCATATCCGGCACAACAATAGAAAGTTCTGTCAATTTAAAACTTAACGGCTTAATTATTACGACAGCAAACTGATCGAAGTCTCTATATCAAAGAAAATTAATTGAGAATATTTAAACGATAATCAATTGTATTAGAGTCCCACAATCCCAAAATAGTTTATAGGTTCGTGTGTACATATGTCTTTTTAAAACTATTAGACATTTTTGAAATTCGACATCACATTTGCAAAACATAAAAACAAACTTTCCACGAGTAGGTAAAGGTGTGAAAACGATGAAAACAGATAGACAAAATAATAAACAGCTATTTCTTTGGTGACAAAGAACATATTAACTTCAAGTTTCAGAATTTTTTATTATAATTCTTGACCACTTGTCTGGCTTATTATTTATCTTAACAAATAGTCACATTAATTTGCAAATGTCACGTACCTTGTAATTTTTCTCTTTTTGAAAAGTATAATTCAAAAATATGCACGAATATGCTACGGCCTACCTAATAAATGGGTACCACCGTGTTTCCCAGATAATATGGAGGGTAAGGAGAACTATCTTACATGGGGAAAAATTTGAAAAAGTGTCCAGCTGTAAGCAGTAAATAACAGTTCAAAAACCTCCACTGTTTACGTTGTTCAAAGTAATTTTGTTCTTGTTTATTTTCTATCGTATTCTAATAACTTTTGGCACTTTATTTAAAATTTACCCTGTTGTTAGGGGAGGCCGGGGCTAGTTGTCTAACTTTTTATGTATAATTTTTTTTATTTATTGCCGTTTTCAAGGCAAGTTTGTACAAGTCGAAGGGGAGTAAAAGTCATAAGGATTCATATTTTGATATCTATATTCTTCTATTTAATGTGACCATATTCTAGTAAAGCCTTTTATGCCACCAGGCAGAGTTAGCCATTTAACCCCTATATGGGGTGTGTTGACATATTCGTTGGGGTTAGTTGACTTACCTTTTCTCTACAATTTATTATTACCTTTTCCTGCTTTTTATTAAGGGTAATATTACAACAACTATTTTTTTCAAGTTACATTTGTTTTTTTTTATTTAAAATTAGTTAATACAGGCTCATAGATCATCATCAGAGTCGCAATTTATACATACAAAAAAGGTAATTGTTAGATTTTTTTATGTATTTCTCATGGTCCCACTTTCTGAAACGCGTGCATTGCATCCAATTATCCCTAAATTCGCTAGTACCATAAGGTTCCTCACATACCAAGTATTCAGCTTCATCTTCCGAGTCTGAGGATGAAGAAAAATTTTTTTGAATTCCGAATGTAGATGGGACTAGGTTATCATGAAATAGAAATCTTCGACCATCATTCGGAGTATTTTTCTCATTTTCCTTATCAGCCATCTTTTTACTTTTCTTGCACTTTTGTTTCTTCTTTTTGGTGTCTTTGTTTTTCTTGCTTCTTTTATTGTAGTATCCGTTAAAATTTCAGTTTCTCTCCTCTTTCTGCCCCTTTGTGTATTATTTTGTCGTGATCCCGCTTTAGGAAAAGGTCTCACTTCCTCAGGAGAAACAAACTTGGATGCAGTCTTCTCTGGAGTTACTGGAGTCTAGATTGTTGTTGTGTAAATGTCGAAATAAGTTGAGAAATACACTTGGGGTTAGTTGACTAATAAGTCATTTAACCCCGATGGATTTTAGAATTACGTATGCTCCCAATAAGGTCCATTTCAATATATGGATATCTACTTGTTGAAACGAATCCCGGCGTAGCTAACCTTAATGTGATAGGCACGTTACCATAATCGAATAAAATAATTCGAATTGGTCTGTATTCTGTCGAAACTGCCAGACGCGGATCGCGATTTCGATCTTTTTGGATCTCATCAGAGCGTCGCAGGCAGCTCCGATGGAACACACATCTGTGTTCGAATTATTTTATTATATTTCCGGTTCTATTTCCGGTTTCGCAAAAATTTACTATTTCTTCTATTTGCGCTTCTGTTTCCGTTATGACTCCTTTTCCGTTAGATTGTCAGTAGATTATCAAGGACAAGGGCTGAATTTATGACTGTCTGTGAATCTACCACAAAGTTTTGGTTTTTCACCTCCAACACCTGCGCCTCCTTCCCTCCATTTAAACACTCAAAAACAATCCCACCCCTACATCCATTTCTCAACATAAAATCGTGAATTTCTGAACTTTCAAATTTGTATACCGTTTACCCTTATTTACTGTTTTTATATTTTTTTGTATTGTAAGATTTAATTCTTACGTTACGATGGTTTTTGGTCTCACTTGGCATTTGCGGGAAGAACTACTTATTTCATATTCGCCTGATGAATTTTTTTAGCACCTCTTGCACACATCCCTCTTTGGTAAGGCCTTATTAGAATGTAGGTAAACATTGTTAGCGACAATTTACAATGTGTGAACTGTTTCGTATTTCACGGAGAAGGTAAAAAAATATAGTTAATACGTATTATTATACTTTTAAACAAATGTAATCTCTATCTATGGAAAAAGTTGAGGACTTAGCATACGGAAAGTTCCCAAGGAGATTGTAAGTCTCCTATATACACTAGACCACAACTGTGCCCCAAATTAATTTGACACAGTAATTTCTGTAGATTATAAGTAAAATAAAAAACTGGATAACTGAATTTACTATTGGATTTAATAAACTTTAGAATTTGAATTACAACAACGAAATACAAAAAGGGAATATTGATAAAGACAAGATGTTGTGCGTTCGACAAGGGTCGCTACCCGAATGCTATTAGTAATGGCAACAACATTTGTTCCTCGTAACCAGCACATGCATACACATAAACAAGACATCTGAAATGTACGTAAACCTAGGAATTTCCCGTGGTCGAAACTACCGCCCGACCGGATGGAACCGGACAAAAGACTCATAAACCCTAGCCCGATCGGTCAATTTTATGACCTGCCTACGTGCAAAATGCGATGTTATAATTCTCAGAAAGCTGGTTACAAGAATCGAATGAATGCTGTCTTTTTCCTATACTAATACCGACTATTATTTGTCGGTTTATTTGAAATAACTTAAAATATATGAAAAAATATATAAATGAAATTATTGCGACAAACCATACTCCCCCCGTTGAGAGAGTATCGATCAACATAACTTAATTAACAACTTATAAACTAATTTCACCATTTAGACGTCCCTTATATTATTTAGCTACACAATTGTCCTCGATAGGTAAAGGCGCGAGTTGTTTCACACATCTTTTTAACGTACTTGTCGCAGTCTTCACAGAAACAGTTCGAACAATCCCGTCAGCACCAGGATACGTCTTCACAACTCTTCCGACTGTCCAATGCATAGATGGGACATTGTTTTCTTTGATTAAAACAATGGTGCCATCTTTGATGGAGTGATGACCAGTAGACCACTTGTGACGGATGTTCAGTTCATTGAGATATTCTTTATGCCAACGTGCCCAGAAGTCTTGGCGGACCTTCTGGATGTGTTGCCATCTGGACAAGCGATTAGTTGGGATGTGTGAGTAATCGCCTTCCGGCAAGCTCGTTAAAATGTCGCCGATAAGGAAATGACCTGGGGTAAGGACCAGAAGGTCATTAGGATCATTGGACATGGGACAAAGCGGTCGAGAATTTATAATGGCTTCGATGTCGATAGTTAGAGTATTAAATTCTTCAAATGTGAAGATTGGGCCAGTAACCACGCGTTTTAAGTGATGTTTAAACGATTTGACAGTAGCCTCCCATAAACCGCCGAAATGGGGAGATAATGGGGGTATGAACTGCCAATTAATACCCTGATCGCTGAGAAACCTCGCCGTTCTTTCTTGATGCGCGGATGTTTGGAACAGATTGTAAAGTTCCTTTAACTCATTCCGAGCGCCAATGAAGTTTGTGCCATTGTCAGAGTGGATAGATATAGGCTTTCCCCGACGGGCAATGAATCGTCTTAGGGCAGCGATGAAACCTTCGGTGGTCAAATCACTAACGACCTCTAAATGTACGGCCTTTACGGCTAAGCAGACAAAGACCGCCACATATGATTTTACGAAGGTTGTGTTTCGATGCTTCTTCTGCTTTATCAGGAATGGACCGCAATAATCAACGCCAACGTTGGCAAACGGTCGGGCTTGTGTAACTCTAACTCCTGGAAGATCTCCCATGACATATTTTGTGTCTGGCGGGTTCGCTCGGAAGCAACGAACACATGATCTTATAATTTTACGGACTTGATTGCGTCCATCTAGAACCCAATATTTTTGTCGCATCATGTACAGAGTTGTCTGGATACCAGCGTGAAAGTTGTTAGTGTGATAATCTCGAATTATGAGATCAGTCACATGGTGCGACCGAGGTAATAATATTGGATGCTGCTGCGCATAGGAAATATTTGCATTTTTCAGGCGACCTCCTACACGCATTATTCCTTCATGATCGACAAAGGGATTAAGGGCCAGTAACCGTTTGTGTATTGGTTTTCCAGGCTTCCTTTTTGTGATTTCGTCTACCTTCTCGCTTGATAATGACGTTTGTACGAACTTCAGTATAGTCTTCTCAGCGTAAGCCAATTCGTCAGGTCGTAAACCGCCGCTGCGATTGGTTCCGGGTCTCATATGCAAACAGTATGCCACAACTCGTTTCAACCTGGTAAATGACGAGAAATCATGAAGAAAATCTGCATTTCCAGTAACAAAACAACTTATTTTCTTCGTCTCTGGTAAAACATCTGTCGCTGATATGACTGTCTTGGGCCATGCATCCTCCTCTTTCCTTAACCAAAAAGGACCTTCACTCCACGTTTCGTTTCGCAGAAACTCTTCCGGTAGTTGACCTCTAGACAAGGCATCAGCTGGATTAGACTCCGAAGGTACGTGATACCAATCGCCAATCCCCGTTTTAGCCTGAATATTTGTCACGCGGTTTGCTACAAATGTTTTGAGTAAGTGCGGAGATGAGTTTATCCAGTGAAGAGCAATTGTCGAGTCAGTCCAAAAGATTACTCGATCAAATGATACATTTATAGTATTGGTTACTTGGCAATACAACTTGGCCAACAATTGAGCGCCACACAACTCCAGGCGCGGTATGGACACCGTTTTTAACGGCGCCACTCGTGACCTTGCAGTAAGTAATTGGCATTTTGTGTTGCCCTGTCTGTCGCTGGATCTTATGTAAATGCAAGCTCCGTATCCTCTGTTGCTCGCATCGGAAAATCCATGAAGTTGGAGGGAGTTTGAACCTGAACATACCACTCTTCTTTCAAATTTCAAGTTATTCAAAAGCGATAACTGCCTAGCAAATTCGTTCCATTGTGTGTACACGCTGGTGGGGACGGACTCATCCCAACTAAGTTTTAATGTCCAAAGTTGCTGCATGATTGATTTTGCGTATAAAATAATTGGCCCTAATAATCCTAAAGGGTCAAATATTTTTGCTATCTCGGACAAGATAGTTCTTTTTGAGCTTGCTGACTCTGCATCGAGTGATTTCACCGTGTATGTTATAGTGTCAGTCTTCGCGTCCCACGAGATACCCAGAGTTTTCACTGTTTTATCGCCGTCAAAATGAAACTGCGAATCAATCTGCTCTTCAGTTAGACCGCGTAATATTAGTGATTCGTTAGATGCCCATTGTCGCATGTTGAATCCACCTAGTTGCATGAGCTGCGTCACTTCTTGTTGTATCTTACGCGCCTCTTGAATGGTTTCAGCTCCCGTTAATAAATTGTCCACATACAGATCGCGTTTTAAAATATGTGAGCCAAGTGGAAACTTATGGCCCTCGTCGTCTGCAAGTTGATGAATACAGCGTATCGCGAGATGGGGTGCCGGGGCGATACCAAAGGTTACGGTGTTTAATTCTAAAGTGACTATATGATCCCCTCGTTCCCAAAGTATTCGTTGAAATTTTCGATCGTTTTTATGTATTAGCACTTGCCGATACATTTTCTCTATATCGGCAATAATTACATAACGATGTATGCGAAATCGAAGAATAAGGGAAAACATATCGTCCTGAATAGTGGGTCCAACCATCAAAGTATCGTTGAGTGAAAATCCGGAACTGGTTTTTGCCGATCCGTCAAAAACTACGCGCAGTTTTGTGGTCGCGCTCGAGTCCTTAATAACGGCGTGATGAGGTAGATAAAACCCTTCTTCTTTCTCACTATCGACTTCACTCATATGTCCAAGATTTAAATACTCGTCGATCACCGAAGTGTAGGCTTCCTTTAACTTGGGATCCCTTTGAAATTTGTTAAATAATGAATTTAGCCTCCTTAACGCTTGAGAGCGCGACTCGCCGAGAGGCTTTTTCTCATTCTTGAAGGGAAGAGAGACGATGTAACGGCCCGAGTTGTCCCGCGAAGTGTGGTTGTTAAAATGTTCTTCACACTGGCTTTCTTCAACAGAACGATGAGATTCCGTAGTTCCTTCTTCTATCTCCCAAAAACGAGCGATGTCGCGCTGCAAGTTGATAAGATTGCAAGTTGGGAAAGGTACGTCGGCGTCGGTGTGATTAACTACACGTCCACCAATCACCCAACCATATCTTGTTTTCTGCAAGTACAGCTCATCCGTTTCGTTTGATAAATTAATTTGCCCAAGGCAAAATGATGCAAGTGTTGGTCCGGAAGCCAGAAGCAAATCTACTGGAGCTGGTATGTAAAATTCTGGATCTGCTAATCGGAGATTCGGCGGAACAGGAATATTTTCACGCTGTACTAATTCAGCTGGAGTGCGATTTGTAATTGCAGGTACCGTTAAAAAATCCAAAGTTTTTCGGTAATTGCACAGTCGGGACTGAACAGTAACGGTAACGGAATACTTCGTTGCTGTCATCAATTGATTGAGCGCACCTACGGGAACGCAGCATTTCTTCATAGGTAAATTTAACCGTTTCGCTAGATTTTCAATTATAAAGTTCTCAGTAGAGCATGTATCTAATAATGCACGACATTTAATGAGAATACCTTTATTATCTAATATATCAACTACTGCGCTTGTCATTAGGTGATTTGACATCGCACGTGTCGTTAGAGAAACGGAAAGCTGCCTATCTCCCGTAGGACCAACTAGTCATTCGTGCAATAAAATATTGTGTGGTTCATTACAAGCAGAACACTTTATGTATGTGCAGGGCTTAGCGTCGTGTTTTTTCAAACAGTTTGTGCACAATGACGCTTGTTGCACTACCGCTGTGCGTTTACATAGGGGTAATTCGCGGAATTTCTTGCAGCGAAAAAGTTGATGTGTATTTTCCGGACAAATAGGACAATTAACGGGTGTACTTGATACGAAAACTTGCTTACCGGCTCCTGAAGGATTTCTCTTAGCCTTGCATTGATCCTGATACTTATTTGATACAGTAGCTTTCGTTGTCTTGTAGCTTCCATTATGTTGTTGGTTGCGTTTAGATAGTCGTGCGGCGCTTTTATACAGAAACTCAGTCATGTCGTCCAACTTAGGAAAAACTCCACGATGTAATGTTTCCTCCCATTTCTCGGCCGTCAAAGGATGCAGTTTTTCTTCTAAATTCTGCACGAGGATTTCTTCGGAGACATTTACTCCTAATGTTGCCAACGATTCTACATGCTGTAACGTGTCGTCTGCCAGTTTTCTGAGGCCTTCAGCAGTTTCACGTTCTTGTACCTACAGGCAATCGAAGTAACAGACTCAAATGTTTGCTAATTATTAATCGTTTGTCGGCATATGCACGTTTTAATGTATCCCAAGCCCGTTGGTAGTTTTCGTCCCTTATACTTATGGTTTTGATTTTCTTCGCAGCTTCTCCTATTACGCACGATTTAATATTGTAATTTTTCTACGTTAGTCAAATCTGTCTGACTGTGTATAAGAGACACAAATGAATCTTTAAATGACAACCAGTCTTCATAACGCCCATCAAAACGAGGCAAAGAAGCTTCCGGTAATTTGACGCGACGTTTCTTTGTCCGGGGACGACCTTCTTCCTCCGGCGGTAGTTGACCGTCGCCTTCAATTGTACTGCTATTTGATCCTACCGAAGTAGTGATGATCGAATTTGATGGTTTTAACGCGGCGTATACTAAGTTTTCGGCTTCCGCAAGGACATCAAAATAATGATCTTGAGTTTCAAAACGCTCTTCTTCGTATTTACCAGGTTCTAGTAGTTCGATTGTGGTTTGATATTCATCGAATGGTAAATAGGATGATTTTAATTTGTCAATGCGCAATTGAAGTTTAATAGCATCGGGGGGTCCGGTCTTGTATTTATTTAAAAACGTCTCCATCGATGTAATTTGGCCTTTAATGATGGCGCGTTTTTGTACTAACGTTCTTACTTCTTCGTTTGCCATTATAAAAGGGATCGGTTAAGGGAATAGACCTGTAGGAGAGGAATGCGGTACAACAACAATAACGAGCTTACCTTATCAACGTTGTGCTCAAGCGGTATATATCGTCAGTGATGTCCCGCCCAGTCTCCTGTTTCCCAAACTCTTGGTAAGCGAGTAATTCCCTTGAAGTCCCGATCAGCAAACTCCGACGATGTACTAGCGATTCAGTAGATCGCGACACGTGCCGAATTACACAAACAGTAATTTCACACACGTTAATTAGCGCACAAAAACTCCCGTTTTCACAATAAATTCACCTTTAAAGGTGCACTTCACTGTAATCCTTGTAATCCTAAAGGTGCACTTCACTATAATCCTGGGTGACAGCTATCCGGCTCGAAGGACCATGGAAAAAGTTGAGGACTTAGCATACGGAAAGTTCCCAAGGAGATTGTAAGTCTCCTATATACACTAGACCACAACTGTGCCCCAAATTAATTTGACACAGTAATTTCTGTAGATTATAAGTAAAATAAAAAACTGGATAACTGAATTTACTATTGGATTTAATAAAACTTTAGAATTTGAATTACAACAACGAAATACAAAAAGGGAATATTGATAAAGACAAGATGTTGTGCGTTCGACAAGGGTCGCTACCCGAATGCTATTAGTAATGGCAACAACATTTGTTCCTCGTAACCAGCACATGCATACACACAAACAAGAAATCTGAAAGTAAGTAAACCTAGGAATTTCCCGTGGTCGAAACTACCGCCCGAGCCGGATGGAACCGGACAAAAGACTCATAAACCCTAGCCCGATCGGTCAATTTTATGACCTGCCTACGTGCAAAATGCGATGTTATAATTCTCAGAAAGCTGGTTAATCGAATGAATGCTGTCTTATTCCTATGCTAATACCGACTATTGTTTGTCGGTTTATTTGAAATAACGTAAAATATATGAAAAAATATATAAATAAAATCATTGCGACAAACCAGATTGTGTATTTATATAAGATCCAAAGACAATTCTAATACTCATATGGTAAATTTAGTATGCGCTAAGTCACGCATTGCTCCAGTAAAAACCATCTCCTCGCCTAGGCTAGAACTATGCACTGCGAAATTACTCGCTAACTTATTCTTATCATACACCAATGCATCCAACCTAAAGTTTGACAAAATTAATTTTTACACATATTCTACAATAACATCAAATTGGATTAACAACATACTTTAAAAACCTTTGAGGCTAATCGCGTCTCAGAAATTCAAAATTTAAAAAATAAAGAGGATTGGTATCACATATTAAGCGCTGACAATCCTGCTGACTACATTTCGCGCGGAGAGACCCCTCTCGAACTAATAAAAAACCATACGTGGCTAAACGGGCCTCATTGGCTGTCTCAAAATGAATGTAATTGGAAAAATACAAAACTTCCCATTAACGATACAGAGTCAATTAACATTTCATTACATTCTTCCAGTGATAAAGATAAGAGTAATTCTCAAATAGAACTCTTCGGTAAATTTTCAACTATTTGTCGTTTAAATCGTTTCGTGGCATTGTGCCACAGATTAGTTGTAAACAAAAATCGCGACAACAAAATCAAAGGTGAATTTACAGCGAAGGAAATTTCCGACGCTCATTTAAAAATCATTAAAATCGTTCAAGAAAACGAATTCTCACAAGAAATCCGAGCGTTAAAACAGGGAAAACAATTAAACAATAAAAGCAATATATTAAAATTAAATCCCTTTGTTGGCGAAAATGGCATCTTGCGCATGGGGAGTAGGTTGCGTAATTCTGACATAAGTTTTAAAACCCGATTCTATTACCTCGAAAAAGTTATATCACGCAATTAATTATTAGAAACGAACATGAGAAACACTGGCACACAGGTATTCAAAACACTCTCAATTATGTACGACAAAAGTATTGGCATATAGATGGAAAAAATAAAATACATTTTATATTGCATAAATGCATCAAATGTTTTAAAGTAAACCCCAAGCTGCCCGATTACCTTATGGGTGATCTACCAAAAAATAGAGTAATACAAACCCGCCCTTTTGAAAACACAGGCCCAGATTACCTGTGATCCGTTTCATATAAAAGAAAAGAAAGGCCTATGTAGTAGTCTTTATTTGCCTTTCAACTAAAGCAGTTCATTTAGAACTTGTAACAGATTTGACCACGGAATAGTGTCTAGCCGCCATAAAAAGATTTTTCGGTCGTAGAGGTAAAGCCAAAAATTTGTACTCAGACAATGCGACCAATTTTATTGGCGCAAAAAATGAAGTAATAAAATTAGAGGCACTTATTTTGTCCGACGAGCATAATAATAAATTAGTTCATGATTTGGCGAATAAGGACGATAATTGGCATCCTATTCCACCTAAATCACCGCATTTCGGTGGTTTATGAGAAACAGGCGAACCACTGTTCACTTACGAACAATTCAATACGTTTATTATGGAAATTGCATCAATATTGAACTCCCGTCCTTTCATTCCATTGTCTTCCGACCCAAACGTTTCAACCCTTACTCCAGCCCACCTTTTAACTGGACATTCTCTTGCGAACGCACTTGAAGCTGATCTGCACGAAGTTCTAACAAATATGTTGTCATTATGTTAGCACATAACAAAGGTCAAGAAACATTTTTGGAGAAACTGGCATAGGGATTATCTCAATCAACTGCAAGTAAGAAGCAAATGGAATATACCTAATTGTAATCAAATCAAAGTCGGCACCCTTGTTATCATAAAAGAAGAGAACAGTCCACCTTTGCACTGGCCTCTGGGTCGAATAATAGCTGTTCACCCAGGTAAAGACGAAATTGTGCGTGTGGTGACAGTGAAAACAAATAATGGCAAACGGTGTATAAAAAGTTACGTCCGTTACCCATCGAGATGTGATGTGTGATAACAAGTGAAAAAGAAAACTTACAATATTTGAAATACAAAAGGTTTCCCTTTTAGGACAATTTAGCATAGTGGTTAAAAATAATTCATTCTAGTTTATACCATTAACTACAATTATTGTTAGGTAGTTTTACTTTTCTCATAATTGCTTTACATCTTATTACACTTAAATCTTATTATATTCGATATCGTATTCAAACTACAAATAGTTACAATTTAATTTTTAAATCAAATTGTTAAATCATTATTATAGTTGTTTTCAAAGGGTTTGCTATTTTATGTCCTTGTAAACTTGTTGAATGTAGCCGTTCAAGGCGGCTAAGATGTTCTGACCATAATTGTTCAGAAGTATTTTTATTATATATTAACATTTCTTCTAACAACACATTTCAATACGTTGACGAGCTTATTCGATTCCTTTGTATATATTTGTAAATAAATAGTTAAACAAATGACTTCATTTTTTTACGACAAGTTTTATGTGAAAAAGTTACACCAAAATTATCCTTTTAATTTACCTGTAACGTACAGTTAATTACTGTACACTTTACATGCATCATTGTGAAAATTTATTCGTTTTTCTACATCTACAGCGTTCGAGTAGAAACTTTGAAAGAGTTTTCTGATTCAACAGACACGGTGTAGGGGAGACTGGGGTCAATAGAAACAAGTGCAATAACTACGAAACAAGAAGCGATAGCCGGATAGTCCCTGAGGAGGATGGATCTGCGTTCGTGTCAGAACCTGTAGAACAGTGCTAGCAGCGGCTCTGTGACCGAGTGTATTGCTTTTCCAGCATCAAAAGTAAGTGTTTTTGATGTTTTTGTTTTGTATATTAGTCAATATCCATTAGTAGTACTTTAATACTATTGTATGTGGTTTTAAGATTTTTTTTGCAGTAACATTTCTTTTTTGTTTTTAGATACCGCGAAACCGTCCAAAAACTACTAATCGAGGAAAGTGCAGTATAGATTTGTATAAAAAAGCTTACGAAGAGATCAAATCCAAGGGAATAACAAGATGCCGCAGTGTATAACGTTAATTTAACGTCATTGTTTAGATACAAAAAAGAAAACGAGACAGTTGCAATGAAGAATCTTCAGAATCTGTAAAGATGGGTTATTCTCCCCACAATAAAGTGTTCTCTGAAGCCCAAGAAAAGGAGTTATCGAAATATTTAATAAGATGTGCTGATATATACTTCGGTCTCCCCAAAAAAGAGGTAAAGAAACTGGCATACGAACTTACAAAATCGTGCAAATTGACAAGGCCTCGATCTTGGGATGAGAATGAGATTGCAGATTGGAGAAAACTGGTTTTTGGCCTTTATGACCAGAAATCCCGAACTATCAGGAAGAGCTGCTAAGCCACAAGTTTGTCCAGAGCCACGAGTTTTAATCGTACAAATGTTGAGGCGTTTTTCGATAATTTGCAAACGGTTATGGACCGTCATAAATTTGAACCACAGGACATCTATAATGTTGACGAGACGGGAGTAACAACGGTACAAAAACCGGACAGAATTGTAGCTAGGCGAAGAATAAAACAAGTTGGATCGGTGACATCAGCAGAACGTGGAACAGTTGCGACGTTAGCTTTTACAGTTAATGTCATAGGTAATGTGATTCCTCCATTTTTTGGTTTATCTAGCGTCCGGTTCCAAGATCATTTTTTTTAAGACGGTCCTATAGGTTCCACGGGCACTGCTAACCCTTCAGGATGGATGCAAGATTTAGGCTTCTTATAACTTCGAAGTCTCATCCAGTACTTTTGGTTTTATATAACCACTCGTCTCATATATATATATATTGATTATCTAGACTATTGCAAAAATTACGGAATTGTTTTATCTTTTCCGCCCCACTGCTCGCATAAGCTGCAGCCGTTGGATAGGTCATGCTTTGGTCCATTTAAGAAAGCAATAAACACCAGCTGTGATGTATGGATGCGGAACAACCCGGCAAAAACAATGAGCATTTATGACATTCCAGGCATTGCTGCTACTGCTATGCCACTAGTCTTCACTTGCAGAAATATTCAAGCTGGATTTCAAGCAACTGGTATCTACCCGTTTAATAGAAACATTTTCACAGATCTAGACTTCGCACCTTCTTTCGTGACTGACCGCCCAAACCCAAATGACATTCATGAATCACATCCTGTGTCTATTGAGATACCAACATCTAGCACCAATGCAGGTTCGGCTATTCCAGATACAAATCAGACATCTATTTCTATTGGAACACCAACAAGCGTCACTAACAGCCGAGTTTCAAGCTTGAATATAGAATCAATTGGATTCAAGTGCTATGGGTAAATCTAGTACGCCTCCAAAGAATTCAGGTGATGCAGTTACAACGGATCAATCTAATACGCCGCCAAAGACCTTTCATCCTGTTGTTGATCCATGTCAGCCATCTACAAGCCAGTCAACAGTTTTCTCACCGGAATCAACAAGACCTTTTCCCATTGCTCCACCAAGGAAGCTGCCTGCAAGCGGTAGTAGAAAGAGGAAGTCGACCATCTACACAGACACTCCCGAAAAAGAAGAAATTAGGAAAGAATCAGAAAAGAAAAATCAGAAAAAACAGGCAAAGAACGTGAAAAAGAACTTGAGTAAAAAAATAAAGGAAAGGTTAAGAAATCTAAGCAAACTAAAGAATTGACTTCTTCTGAAGATGAATCAGATAACTGCATTTGCCTTGTTTGCACGGAAAGTTTTGAAAGAAGCAGACCAGCAAACAGGTAAGGATCAGGACACCAAAGTTTTCGACGAGTTTTCGCTTATTTCTAGCTTTACGACAGACCAAAAAATCACTAGCTGGGATGCTAAGAATTTAACTGCTGAAAACCGCTGGGTGGAATTATTCCAGCACTTCTGTGCAAACAATATCCACTTAACGAACTTTTCTATAATTATTTAGTACGTCTTGTGTCTGCCTCGAAGTAACGCACCTGTCGAAAAAGTCTTTTCTCAAATGAACAAAATATGGACGAGTGAAAAAGCACAGTTGAGCGTCTCAGTATTGAAAGCCATTTTGATTAGAAAGATTAACATAAATAAATAGTGTACTGAGGTCTATTCGTACCTAAAAACGAAACCAGAAATTTTAAGAAAGATTTGTTCAGCCGACAAATATAAAATATAGCCTAACTAGAACAGAGCCGGACTGAAGATTTTGGCCCGGGGTACGATGTAACCAAATGAACTGGTTTAGAAGGGAAAGTGCACAAATTTTAACAGCACTCATTTTTAAATAAATTTAAGGAGTTAGGAGGAAATTTGCGTTTGTCTTTGCCTCGGTCTTTGCTCTTGTTTNTATGACATTTGTGCGATCACCTTTTTTGAAGATAGGTATAATGGTCTGTAATTTCCACATGGAAGGGAATTTTGATTCATTGATTGATCTAGTAAATAAGATATGAACGGGTTTTAAAAGACCAAAGGCAGCTTGTTTTATGAAAATGGCAGGAATATCATCAATACCAGTCCCAAGTGTTTCGCGTATAGATGATATATGTAATAAAACAGATGCTCGATCAATCGTTAATTCATTTAAAGTTTGATGCGAATCCTCAATTTTAGTGTATATGTAGTCGTTGCAATTATTAAATTTAGATGAGAAACAATTAGCAAAGAGTTCTGATATTTTATCATTGGTGTCAGCACTTATTCCATCCAAGATCATCAATCCTGGCAAAGTTTCCGATTTATGATTATTGATATCAACATACAACATACAGCGTAGTTTATTCCCGGAACTTCGACCAACGTAACGATCTGCTATGTGACGTCACCAAGGGTACGGTTTTCCCTTTTCATTACCTGCTCCAACTACCTGCACCATCCGCTACAACCGTTCTTGTACATAACTACGCTCTTCTATCTTTCTACTTTCTTTTCTACTATTTTTTTTACCCTTATGCGGTTGTAGTTTTCCTCTTACTTTTTTTATGAGCAAGACATTATTTTTCTACTTCTTTTTTTTTAAGACCTTTTTCCTATTTTGCTAATTCTAATCATAAAATCACGTATATTTTTTTTACTTCTATGTTTCCAAGCATGCTCTATCCGTTTCTGCTATCAGTTTTTTCATTTTCCTCCGCGAACTTAACGTTAAAAACGAATTCGTTTTTAGTCATTACTTTCGCCCTTCTCTCACTACCCAACTTTCAACCCCTCTTTTTCCCAACCCTTGTTCGGTACTGAAATTTGTATATATACCCATGCTTCCCTCATTACCAACAACTCCAATATCCCACCGACCCACGGCAAGGGAGAAGGAGTTCCACCACCAGTCACCTCAGTTTTTTTCTTCGCCCAGCCGTTAACCACCGATTGCCAGTTAGAGTAAGTGTTGTTTATCAGTGTTTTTTTGGTCCTGCTCAGACTCATTTTGTGTATATATATTATCTCCGTTTGTTTTGTTCAATTGTATATATTTTGTTACTTGTCGTTTGTGCATATTTGTATTCTAGTTGTAGGTTATTATGTATATAGTTAGGTTTAAGGGGTAAATAAATTGTTGGAAGGAAGCAAAGACATATCAAGTGACGCCCAACGCGTGGGGCTAGTGCAAATATATTAGTGTAATATATCGTTCCGCGCCTTGAGACAATTCATCATGCCAAAACGCCGATCCGACGTGCGAGCTAAACCGGAAGAAGCACTTCTTGGAGTGTCCAAACACCAAGTGGGGCCCAAATTCGAACCAACGATGCAGTTTTCGTCGCAACAATTAGAGGGCATCCTTCAGCGCGTCCTTACAATATCAAAGCCTTTGCCGCCTGCTCCATCCTTTAGAGGAGACATCACTGAGGATCCGATCCGATTCCTGGAAGAATGCGAAGAATACTTCGAGAAATACCGAATCAATTCCAGCGAACAACTCAAGACCGTCACTACCCAACTTCAGGGGAATGCGGCAAAGTGGTGGACACCTTACCAAAGTTTTCCGCTACAGTGGAAAGGATTTCGGGATCGATTATTAATAAAATACAATCGACCCGAAGTCTTGGTATCCTTACAAGCCCAGCTATACAGTCAAAAGCAGGGACCAAAAGAGAACTCAGAAATGTTCTTACTCAACAAACTACAACTGTTGCAACGCCTCCTTCCGGACCAAGAAGAAGAAGAAAGTATTCAACTGTTAGTAGAGTTAGTTCGGCCCAGTATACGAACCTTCTTGAGATTCCCGAAGCAAAGAGCGATCGAAATCGATTTTGATCAATTCCAATGTACCGCCAGCCAGAAAATTCGAGAACAAGTTAAAGCCCCTGTCAGAGAACTACAAGTACCGTCAACATCCGCAGCGCCAAATGTCACTACTGTCCAGAGAACACTTCCACAAGGATTGCCCTATATTAGCCCAACGACGTCGCCAGGATGCTAACTCAGGGTCGTCGGGAAACTGGAGACAGGCCGAGGGAAATCCGCAAGTCCAACACCCTCAGCAAAGGCCGGACACTCATACAACCACCATATTAGTTTAACAGATTGCTGGATGCCAAAGGTTCCACTTCGTCTAGGGGAATTGTACACTGAAGCCCTACTGGACACGGGAGCCTCCCATAATTTCGTAAGTTCTCGCTTGACTCACGATTACGACACTGGTTCCGGCTCAACCTCTTTCGCAAGTCTCGCTAATGGTACCACGATTCGCATTTTGGGTACAGTGTCGTTAACTGTACACATTAGCGAGTGCCCGCATCAAATCCAAGCCCTCGTCGCAGAAGGACTTAAGGAAGACATAATTCTGAGTATGTCGTGGCTTCTGCGAGTAAATGCTACCTGCGACTTTGAAAGGAAGTGCATTCATCTTGGTACCGACAAACGTCAGACAATCTACTGGGTTCGACCACCGCCCATCACACAGACCACGCTTCATGAGCCGACTCTAAACCAACATTTTCCTGAGGACTACAGCGGCGACTTTCAAAAGTTGGTTGAGGATTTCCGAGAAGTATTCGTGAAATCGGCGACGCCTACCAAAACGGCTCAACACATAATACGTCTACGCCAGAACCAGCCCTTCTGCCTTCCACCGTATCGATACTCTGAAGGAGAGAAAAAACTGATCCAAGAGCAAGTCGAGGAAATGCTCGCGGATAATGTCATCGAGCCCAGTCAGTCACCCTACAACTCCCCAGTGGTTCTCGTGCGTAAGAAAAACGGAGATTCCCGATTTTGCGTAGACTTCAGGCGATTAAACAACCTCACTCTGGACGAAGTATCGCCTCTTCCCGCTATCCCGGAGACCTTGAAGGCCATAGAGACGTCTACAATCTTTTCAACCATCGACCTGAAGTCTGGTTATTGGCAGATACCTATGCATCCAAAGTCCCGCCCCCTTACTGCCTTCACCGCACCTGACGGAGGAAAATTCCATTTCCGAGTGATGCCGTTCGGATTAAAAGGAGCTCCTGCTACCTTCCAACGTACCATGGGCCAGGAAGTATTAGCAGGATATCTAAGGAAATTCTGTCTTGTATATTTGGATGACATTATTGTATTCTCTCGTACCTGGGAAGAATATATCGATCACCTTCGTCGAGTGTTCGAGAGACTGCAACAACACGGACTTGCGTGCGCTCCGGAAAAATGCGTCTTCGGGTCGAGGACGTTAACCTACTTGGGACACCTGATCTCGGACAACGGAAACTCTCCGCTTCCTATTCATCTCGGAAGAATCCACGAATCGTCTGCGCCGACCACACGGAAGCAATTAAAGAAATTTTTAGGGTTGTGTAATTGGCTCCGCGAGTACCTGCCCCGATTCGCCAACGTGTCAGCTCCTTTAACGGATCTGCTGAGTCTAAAAAGAAAATGGCAGTGGACTAACGAGTGTCAACAATCTTTCGAGCAAATAAAAGCCTTAATGCAACAACCGCTCGGTTTACACCGCCCCGATTTTGATAAAACGTTCATCCTCCAAACTGACGCCAGTAAACAGGGTGCCGCTGCCGTGCTGTATCAGGAAGGACCCAATCACATCAAACATATAATATCTTACGCCAGCACCCGATTCAACCCTACCGAGCGAGCCTACCATAGCAATGAGCAGGAGTGCCTTGCTATCGTCTGGGCCATTAAGAAGTATCGACCCTACCTGGAGGATAAACGTTTTATCCTGAGGACCGACAACCGGACAATCACGTGGTTGCAGACTATGAAGGATGCGCGAGCAAAGCTAACGAGATGGGCTCTGCTACTCCAAGAGTTCACGTTTACCTTAGAGCACTGTCCCGGTAACGCTAATCAGCTCCCAGATGCCTTATCCCGCCTGCCTGGGTCAGACGATGTAGACCAGGACATTGACAACGTGACCCGTCTGATCCCTCCGGACAACAGAAACCCAATGGCGTCTCAAATACAGATCGAGACGAGCCACGACGAAATCCGCCAGGAACAAGAAACCGATCCGGAAATCATCAACATCCGGCAACGTTGCGCTTTCCTGAATGACAATCCCGATGGCCAAACCCAGGAGGACGTCGATTTCCTTCAACGATATC